CTGTATTTGACTTTGGCCTGTTTCCGTAGATATTCCCAATAACTTGGTTCCGCTCTTTATATGGCCCCTTAGCTTGGTTTCTTCTGGGTCTTCCCCTGTGCTCAGATTAAAGGTCTTAATAGCCTCTTGATATGGTTGTACATTGTCAGTCTTTTGCTCTATTTCCCTTGCCATTTTCTCAGAGAGTTCAAGATCTTTAACATTTTCCTTTTTAGCTTGGTTGATAGGAGCATAAAAATTATATCGGATCGCAACAGTAGCATTATCGGTGGATTTGGGCATGAATTTTCACAGTTAACATGTTTTGGTGCAGATTTAGTATATGAGGTTTAAAAATGCATATGCAGAGAAAGTATTGCCATTTTTAACTTTAAGATATAAATGCAAGAGAAAGAAAGGGATCTTAATTGAAATCAAAATGTAACTTTCATTAATCATAAATATTGTTTGAAACAAAACGTGGAAACCCTTACAAGCAACCCCTATGTCTCGGGCTTGACATAGGTTCTTTCAAAAACAAGAAAAATTAATTAGGAAAGAAAATATCTCAGGAATCTCCACGACCGTCCATCTTTTGAGTTTTCCTCCTAGGGCTCATTCTCGGATGAATTCAGTTCCCCCTTTGGTGTTGGCCTTGTTGGATATCTTCGCCACATGTCTGCCATGCATTACTCTGTTATTGACAAAGGTCTCGTGGATTGGAGGAAAATGTGCTTCGCCCTTCAGAGTAGCTTTACATTTTCTTTTAGAGTTTTGTCCGAACTGGACTATCCCCTAGTCCCCTAGCCTTTGTAGAGCTCTTTCGAAAGCTTCATTGTGTCCTAGTGGGAGTCCACATTCCAACAAATATGATTTTATCGGGGTTTTTGCTAGTCTGCTTGCCCTAGAGTCAGTGACTACTCCAATTGCATTTATTGTTAGCCCATCGTTGGAAGGCGTAGGGTCTGATTTAATGTTGGGCTTCTTGAAGGTGATTTCTTGAGATTCTAACAAATCCTGCACCTTGTGTTTGAATGGCCAACACTCTCCTTTAGTATGTCCAGGAGAATTAACATGATACTCACATCTACCGTTGGCATCGTATCTTCGTGGGAGTGGCCCGACTGGAGGAGCTAGAGGCTTGAGTTCCACTAAGGATGCCTTAACTAGATGTTGTAATAGCTGATTGGGTGGCATCGAGAGTGGATCAAATTTCCTGGGTGGCCTTTTGCCTTGCTGCTGCCCCAGGGGGGATCACTAATGGTTGTTGAATCCTGGGTTGTGGTGTTACAACATTAATTTCTTCCTCTTTTCCTTTGGGGAGGTTTGAAGCAGGCCATTTTGAATTTTAGGGAGCATTTGACAGTCCCCCTGATATCTTCCCACTCTTTATCCTAGTCTCGAGTCTTTCTCTGATGGTTACTAGGTCTGAGAACCCCGAAGAGATGCTTCCAACCATCATTTCATAATACAACCCTTGTAAGGTTCCCATGAACATGTCTACGAGCTCTTTTTCCAGCAGTGGTGGTTGTACACGGGATGCCAATTCCCTCTATCTCTGAGCATACTCTTTGAAGGACTCTTCTTTCTTCCGGGACATATTCTGGAGTTGCATGCGGGTAGGCGCCATGTCCAGGTTATATTTGTAATGCTTTAGGAAAGCATTAGTAAGATCTTCCCAGGTTTGAATATGATTCTCTCCAATTGCATATACCAGTCTGAAGATGCCCTACTCAGGCTATCTTGGAAATAGTGAATCATCAGCTTTTGATCATGGGCATGGGCATGCATCTTCCCGCAATACATAAAGAGATGATTTCTTGGACAAGTGAGCCCCTTGTATTTTTCAAAGTCAGGTACTTTGAACTTCGGTGGGATCACCACATCAGGAACTAGGCCCATTTCGAGAGCGTCTATTTCGAAGTGTCGAAACCCTCCACAACTTTTATTCTTTTCTCCAGAGCTTTATACTGATTCATCATTAGTGGATTATCAACAACATGAGTATCAGTCATCTTTGAGGGCATTTAGTTGGCATCCTCTGGGTCGTGGTCTCCGTATTGCAGGTCCAAGTAATTATCTACATCATTGGTCGGAATCTGTAGGGTATGAGATGCCCCTACTTTTGGCGGAGGTGGGACAAACCCTTCAGTTTCAGCTTCTTGTTGGGCCATGACGAACTTTGGGAGTCCTACTTCTGGCTCTTTCCTTGGTTGGTGACCGCTTGATGTACCAATAGTTTGGGCTACTTCTTCGAAAGCTGCCATGGGAATTTGGTCTTGCCTGTCAATAATGTTTTTCAAAGCTCGGAGAACTTGACTCAGATCCCCTTTCATTGAAGTGACATCACCCTTTACTTGGTCGAGATCCTCTTTGAATGCAGCCTGAGTTTCCTCGATTTTCTCCATTGCTTTCTGTTGGTAGGCCTTTGTTTGATATGAAGGCCAAGGAGGTGGAGACCTTCTTCTACCAATGGTTCAACTGGAGAGATGTTTTTTTGAAAAATGAGTTTTGACATGATATGCGAGTGCTCGTGAATTCATGCGTGCGAATGAATGTGTATGAATATGAAAGGGGTCAACTGTCCTATTCACTTGGGTATGTATCTGTCTTTTGCTTATTATTTTACTTGGTGACTATCCTTAATATAGATACGCAAACCAGATGTGGAAACAAAATGCCCTTATTGAAGGTAACTTAATTCAGATATTTAAAAATATTACAATCTTAAACCAAAACTTTATTTGCGTGAAATCAAGCAAAAAGGAAATAAGTCTTCAAGGTGCGCCTACGGGTATCTGATCTTAAAACCATCCCCAGTTGCTGGACAAAATTTGAGAAGTCTTCAGCATGTTATTTCCCTTTTGTGGCCTTGATTTCAGGCATGTTTGGCATGTTGAGGCGGACAAGTTGTTTCCTTCGGTATCCATTTTTAAAGACAGTCACCGAGATCTTGATTTTATTCTTTTTTGGTACCCCGTGAATAAGACAAGGAAATGGGTGACGAATATATGATAAATGTATGAAGAATACATGAAATATATGAATGCGTGGGTGTAAGGTTGAGTGACAGGATTTTGTGATAAGCACCCCTAGAAGGTAGGTTCCTTAATCTTGACCTACAATTGATCTACCCTCCCAAAAGATGGCTTCTTTAAGGGTTCCATGAATAACACCAGAGGGAAAAGGTATATGGGCCACCCTTAGGTGGAGCCTCTTTACAGACTGAGACTTTTGTCTCAAAGTCGTGAAAGGTCTCGTCATTAGATTTTTGGGTTATGGTCGTTACAAAAAGTCATGGGTGACCTTCCAAAGTCCTACTCGTCAAGAGGATATCTCTCGATAAGTATTCCTTTTTCAGAAGTTCACCTACTCTAGGCGAAGTCGTCACATAAACTCACAGGGATGATGTACCTCCTAAGCTAGTAGATGAACCTTCTTGCTAAGGTTATTTGAGAATATTTTTTGAAATAAAAGTCCGGTCACACAATAAATATATAATGGTAAAAGAATAGACAATAAATAAATAAATGCAATAAATAAATAATGTAATAAATAAATAATGCAATAAATAAATAAATAAAAACCCAAAATAAAACCTAAAACCTAAGGTTGAGATTCCCCAGCAGAGTCGCCAGCTGTTGCGACTGGTTTTTTAATCAGAGCCTCCACTATTAGTTTTTATCCCTAGGGAAGGGAATCTAACAGAAAACCCTAATTCACAGACAAATATTCTAGGTTTCGGACTGAATTAGACGAAAGGAAGGTGTTAGGCACCTCTCATCTACCTTGTTCACAAGGATATTAGGATCTAGATTTAGGTTTGGGGTAAACAGGATTTAAGTTTTAATTAGAAAGACTCGCCATGATTTTAGATCGTATGCCTACGTATCCTCTTATGAGGAATCAGATTCCCAATTCGTAGTTCGTATGGGGTTGATGTTTTTTAGAGGTTTGCAAACATATTTTGAATCACCTCGCACTCAGTCGAGAGTAGTGATTGCAGAGATTTTGATTGAATGCGCAGTGAGTCAAAATCTGTTTGAAACCCTTTTTGCAAAAAATAGTTGATTAGTTTAGTTGATTGCGAAAAATAGTTTGAGATTGGTTAGTATTTTTTAAATGTATTAACTGCGAAAATATCTTCATTAATGCATGACAAAAAATATATTAATGCAATAATAGAAAATAATGTTCATAAAAATAATTCATATGTTAATATATAAATAATAATAAGATTATTCATACAAGGGTAAGAAATAAATAATTTTACATAGCAAATGAAATATAATAATAATAACTGGAAAATAAAATTTATAATAATAATAAGTTATAAATAATAATAATAAGAAATTAAGTAATTATAATAATATATAATAATAAAAAATATTAAAATATAATAATTATAAAAAATAGAAAATAAGTGATAATAGAAAAAAAAAGATTTAATTAAGTTAAACCTAGGGGGTGCGATTTTGAACTAACAAGCAAATCAGGGAGGTGTCTTTAGGAGGATGGATTACGTGGACGAGGGTGTATGGAAAATAAGGTAGGACTTAGCCTGTAGCCGTCCGATCATGATCACGCGGAGGATTTCGAGGGAGTATGATAATTATTGTGAGCCAGCACACATGGAATTGAAACAGATTACATTTTGTTTTTTATTCATTTACATTGTTTTGTTGTTACAAAAAACTCCACTTATTCATCTTCCTCTCTCTCGTACACACAAACCCTTTCACTCTCTCTCACTTTAACCCTAATTCCTAAACCACCACCGGCGGCACTTTACCAAAACCCTAACATGAATCTGACCCCCAAAACCCCCCAAATCCCAAAAATAACAACAAATCAACCAAATAAAAACGCTAAGTCTGGTTAACCTTTCGCGATTTCGCTTGCTCTCTGTTTTTGAATGTTCTTGATTTAGTATTGATCTCTGATCTCCTTTGCTTTTGCAGGTTGCGGTGGATCTTGAAGGTGGTGCAGCGACGAATCAACAAAGATTATAGTTTCAGATAATGAAACCCCAATCATCCTTCTCTTGGATATTCAACCAACAACAAGTTTATTTTCTCTTCGGTGTCCTTCACGCAAGCTCTCTCTGTTCTTTTCTTTTTCGTCTTGTTTGTATCCTCCCTCTTATTTCTCTGTATAAAGTCTTCTCGCCTCCCCCTATTTTTGTTCTTCTCTATAAAACCCAAGTTCGAAAATAACTTTGACGGTAGCACTAAGGCGGACACATTTGGGGTATGACATTATCATTATTATTAAGTTTTCAATTCCTGATTTGAAATAGTTGATTCATTTTGTTATCATTGTTTTTCATTGTGGATGATATTTTACGATGAAAGAAGATAAAAGAAGTGGATACTATAGGTCTATATCATATTTCTCTACAATCTACAAAATAATTTAAAAGGTGATTACCAACAGATTAAGTAAGGTATTGGGGAATATAATAGGAGGTTTGAAATAGGAGGTTTGAATACTAATAGTAAATCCTAAAAACTACCTTGACCAATGTTTGGAATGAATGTTGTTAAATTATTTCCTGTAGTGTAACAAGAAGCTTATAAAATAGCAAAATCAAAGATGAGTACTTGTATAACTATATGAACTGCTACAGGAAGCTTATTGTCTCATTGTTTCAATTATCATATATCTAAGTGTACTTGTATAATCAAAGATGAGTACTTGTATAACTTTATGAACTGCTACAGACCTGCTACATTATCATATATCTTATTGTTTTGAGAAGCTTATTGGAATGTCCTAATTATTACATTGTGTTGTACAGGATGATTATGTGAATAGTCTAACACAAGCCACCAAAAATAATAATAATGTGGATGGGTTGAAAAAACTACAATTATGGAAAGAAGCTGTCGGCGGTAAGTCACGAGGCTGATGTTATAGAACTTCCCGAATGGCAGTCAATATACAATATGGAGTGTCTTACTTGACACAAGTGACCATTTAAAACTCGAATAGAGAAGCAGAGAGCCAAGCCATTGAGATGGCTAGAGAAGAGGCTTCTAGAGCATGTGAAGAGGCTGCATTAGCTAATGCGTGTGCAGACGAAGCGAATGCGAATGCAAGAGAAGCTATGGCTGAGACAGCAAAATTGAAAAGGAAATTTGAAGAATTTTATAAATAATTGTTTGCTTGGCAGTCGGGTCAGGTGGGTACTTCCATTGTTCCTTCTAGTGTCCATCCTAGTGCTAGTGATCATTATGATGATGGCTCTGATGGTCAGTTATTGGATCTAGAGGGAACGAGTGATGGATGTTGACATTGTCTTTTTCTTAGTTTTAAAACTTGTTTTGTGGATTTTCACTAGTTTGATATTTTGTGTTGGTATTTTGATGTAACTTTGACATCTTTATGTAATAAAATTGTGGATGAGAACTAGTTTGATATATTGTGTCAATATTTTGATGTAACTATGACATGTTAATTAATGTAGCAATATCGTAGTTTTTTGGAAGTTTGTTATCTTGTGTTGAGATTTTTCTGATAATATATCAATGAATAGTTTGAATTACAAAAACAGGTTTAAATTTCAAGTAGAATTAATTTGGATTTAAATAGTTATATATAATATAAAATAGAACTTCCAGAATAAATAAATAATAGGGTCGGCTAAAACCGATGCTTCTAAACAACATAATAGACCGTTAACGTCGACTTTGAGCTACGCTACATTGCACGACTTTAGCTATGTAGCATTCTTTATGACCTATGTTGGACCTTAGAAATAGTAGCCCACATAACCGACGCTAATACATTGAACATAATATTTAACTGACCCAATAAACCGACGCTATTTGGGAAAAAATATTATAGTGGCCTTCTAAACCGCGACTAAATAAATGTTAGCATCAACAACAACCAACACTAAATGAAAACAATTCTGTAATGTAATGTCGGTTTTGATAAGATAGCGTCTCGTTAACATTGTCGTAGTCGATGCTACATGTAGCGAAGGCTGGCCGTTATGGTTTACTTCCACCTTTAGCATGTTCGTCTCGACCCCGACGCCAAGCCGACGCTAAAGGCATTTAGCGTCGGTTTTTTACTTGTTAACGATGATTTTTGGCTGACGCTAAAATGCAAGTTTATTGTAGTGTTTATGGTTTGTACTCCCCATCTCCGAAGCATTGTAATAGTGTAGGTTTTACCCTCCTGCATTTTACTTTCCACACTTATAATTATTTATGTACATATAACTACTAGTTTAGTAGGATTGTATGACAAAGACTAAAAAAATGCTAGATAACCATAAATCCAAGACAAAAATAGCTGAAACACAACATACTTCGCACACGCGCACCTCTAGGGTGACCCTCACTTGTTGCCTCTAATAAAAAATAGTCATGTCCCTCGATTGTGGGATGCTTTAGTAAAGACCATTCGATTAAAAGATCGTAGTCCCTCGATGACCCTTTGATGCTACCTCGGTAAACAATCTTAGTCACTTACGACAATTGCTAAAGTGTCCTATGAGTTGCCTTTATGATGGTACAATGATCCGCGCCCGTCCCTCAAACATCCAATGATAGGGCTTCTTACGAACTAATGGTAAGATAGCTCTATCTAAGGGAAAGGAGGAAAAGACAAAAAACTTTTGAGTAGGTAGATAGCTCGTAGTCGCTTTCTCACAAATCAAAAACATTTTTTACACATACACACTTTTCTAAATATTTTCAAAAAAAACACTTTGTATGTGTTCTCAACGATACAAGAACCATTACAAAGTTTGCCGCACTTAGGAATTTTTTAAAATATTTTAAAACTTACACAAACACAAAACATTTCAAAAGTGAGCTAGTGATTAAGAGCCCGTAGATAACTACGGATGAAAAGCGTGCTAACACCTTCCCTTTTCATAACCTACCCCCCTTACTCAAAAAATTCTCAAAAGGTCTTTCCTGTTCTTTTCTCCCTTTTCTTTATTGGATAAAAGAAAAGTAGGTGGCGACTCTTGCTATCCGCAACATTTGCGATAAAATACAAAACCAAAAATTCAGTTCTCCCACCGTATTACAGAACTGGTGACTCTGCTGGGGACAACTAAAGTGGGGTTACCTTAAGAGTTAGATCACATTGTAAATGCTTTGCTTGATTTATATGCTTTATATTTTAGGGTTTTACTAGGGTTATTTTTGTAAAGATCCTATACCCGGATCTGGGCATTTAAGGTAAGTAGCAATAGATCGTGAAGATTGTATGGCGTATACCGATACGGTTGAAGCGATGGCTACGTTAGTGTGACACATTGGTTGGTGCCGGTGTCCCTTGAGATAAGTCAAGGAGAATGTTGGGCTGCCGCATGGTGTCAAAAAGAACTAACTAACCGTAGAACCTTAATTGACACAACTTAGCCATTATAAAGTAGTGAGATAGCCAGATTTGACGCAGACTGAAGCTGGTTGATACTCGATGCTACATTCATTGATATCAGACTCTAGGGATATTTCGGTCACAAATCAAATGCTTGTGTTGAAACAATGCCTGGGAGAAAGATCAGTGATATTGAGGTTCCTAGAACCCGATTACTTCTTTTAAGACAGATTGAGCCAACTAAAACTTCAAGAGGGTACTTACCTACAAACTCCAAGCAAGCTTAAACCTAAGGCCTTGTGTGTTTTGTTTGTGTATGATTAATTGTTCGAACATGACATCATAACATCATGACATCATACCATATCATTTTTCACTAACCATTTCAAGGACTAAGAGATTTATCTTTGTTCTGTTTTGCAGGCTATGGCCTCCGCTCGCAGAAATACTATCCGGGTCAACTTTGTAAGGGTACCTCCTCAGCTTAAAGAGTTAGTCTCAAGGGTTCCCGAAAGTTCTCCATTCATCAAAAGGCATGGTCGACTACTCAGTCTGGTTACCCCAGGTTTTGACGAAGACATGATGAGTGTCTTATTCCAGTTCTTTGACCCTGTACATCATTATTCCACCTTTCTAGATTATAAGTTGTTACCCACAATGGAAGATTTCTCTCAATTGTTTGGGGCACCTGTTCTTGATCAGACACCCTTCACCGGTTTAGAGGAAGATCCGAAACCAAGAGTTATTGCATCAACCTTACATCTGAAGCGATCCAATATTGTATCTAATTGGGAAACGAGAAGTGCAGTCAAAGGTTTCCTGGATAAATTTTTTATAGAGAGGCTCAAGTATTTCTGGATTATATGAGTTTTCAGGCTTTCTAGGAGATCTTGGCTCTTCTAATCTATGGGTTGGTACTATTCCCTAATTCAGATAAACTCATAGATGTGAACGTCGTCAAAATATTTCTTGCTTGTAATCCTGTGCCTACTTTTGCTTGGAGACATTCTGCATTCTCTTCACACTCGTACAATGAAGAGGTGACGAACTCTCTTGTGTTGTATACCTCTGATATCCAGGTGGTTTATTTCGCACCTTCCCCGACCAGTAATAAAGAATGAACAAGGTTTGAGATGGTCGTAAAGAATAATGTCGCTTTCTCATACAAACATCTACTGGTATTCCCGGTCTTATGAGGATATCACTATCATTGATCGTTTTGGGGAATTCCCTAATGTTCTACTCCTTGGAATTAGGGGAGGTATTACTTACAACCCTTCTCTAGCTCTACGTCAATTTGGTTATGCTCGAAGAGATGATCCTCATGACACACTTATCCAGAGTATTGTGTTCGATTGTGAAAATGATCCTCAAGGTTATCGTCTGAGGTTTATACATGCTTAAGGTATGGTAAGAAAGATTGATGGTAAGGCTTTAGGATAGAAGAACTCCATCCCTATGAAGCCCTATCTCAAATGGGTACGAGCTCACGCTCAAAACCTCGTGATGCCATACCCATTTGTCTTACCAGTGATCATGGAGCCTATTGTCGAAGGAGACGTTTCTTGCACCATCCTCCATCCAGACATGCCCACTGACCTTGAAGAATTGCAGAAGTCCTGGATTCAACTCAAGGAAGAACGGGATACCTTTGAGACTCGATTCTATGCAACCGAGAGGAAAGTGTTGGAGCTCACCAAGCTACATCATGAGGAGAGGAGTCTTAATGCATACATCAACACAAATAGGAAGCGTCCGTGGGAGACTTGAGTCTTAGGTTTTAAGAGTTTATATTGTTATCTTTTTGAGACCCTTTTGTTTTCATTGTAAGCCTAAGAGGCAATTGTAATTTTGAACTTACTAATAAAATATTTGTTTCTGTTTCCTCTTGGCTAGAAAATTTAAATCTCCTAAGATCCTTGAAAACATTTGCATTTATATATCATGCATCATTACACTATAGGTATTTCATACATGTTTTCTCATTTACTTACTGATTATTTCAGTATAAGATCACCCTTGAATAAACTGTCAAGGATCTCCAGGCTCAGCATGCACAATTTCAAGAAAAGTGAAAACTTCATATTCCAATTTCCAGCCCATTTCAGTCCAAATCGAGGATTGAATCATCTTCTTGAAGTCCTCAGGAACACGTCCAGCCCAAGAACCAGAAGATTTGGTGCTTAGAACTCATGCTTCAAACTCCACCGATTTGTGTTTTTTCTTTGAATTCAATATTAAATTCCATGCATTACTAATGTGTTTGACGAGCCCAAATGTGTTCAAGATATGATTTAGGACGAGTTTGACGTATCACATGCAAGCTTTGATGCATGAATCTCTCTATGCCATTTTTAAGGCATAGAAATTCATTTTCTTCAGATCTCTCTTTACAGACACATTCAAGAGAAAAAAACCCTACCATTGGATTCGTAGCCCTTGAATTAGGGAGGGAGGGTTCCATTAACTTTTCAATTTTCTTTTTTTTTTTAATTATTTTTTCTTTTTCTTAACTAATTTAATTACTTTTTTTAATTAAAATCAAAAGTCCATGAAAAATCTGGAAAAAAATAATTAAAAATTAGATTTAGGTTTTAATTAATTAATTAATTTAATTTTTTACCAATAAAAATTGTTTTAATTAAATTAAATTTGTTTTTATTTCACAATTAATTTTTAATTAATTAGAATATAGGTTTAGTTATTATTATCACTTTAATTATTTTCTATAAATAAAATCATCAAAAATATTATGTAACTGCTATTTAATATCTTTTTCTAATTTCTTCCAAACTCATGGGAATACTTTCCAAA